GTGCACGTCCCTAGTGTGTGCACAAATACACGGTGTATCTCACGAGTCCACCCGCACAGCTCACCGCGCTGTCTCGAAGTGCCTGTAGAGCACGCTGTCGTAGCTTCGTCGGGTGCTGTAGGCCGGTGAGCAGACGATCTCCAGGTGCAGCTCCTTGGCGAACGGGGGCACAGACAGCACGGACCGGCTGCCCTTCCCATCCGCGTCGCCGGTTCTTTCGTACCTCTGCGGGGCGGACGAGGCGCACCGTGAGCCGCGGCTGCCGCCAGCCCGCCCCCCGGTGTGCCCGGCCCCAGCTCACCTGCAGGCAGAGGTGCGCGGCGGCGGCGGGGTCGCAGCCCAGGTTGAAGGCCAGGGCTGAGGCCAGCAGCGCCGTGCCGTCGGCCAGGCCGCGGCGGGCGGCCCGCGGGTACTCCCAGGGCGGAGGCCGCGCCAGCAGAGCCGCCAGGTGCTCGCGGACCGCCCCCTTCGCACCCACTCGCACCCACTCACCCTGAAATAGCCCCAGCGCCAGCAGCCCACTCCGGCTCACCCACACCTCCGCCCCACCGCCGCCCGCCCCGCCGGGCACCGCCCGCAGCCACAGGCCGGCGGCGGCAGCGGCGGCGAAGCGGGAGACGAGGGGCGGCGCGGCGGCGGACGGGGGGCGGCCGCGACCGGTGCCCGACGGGGCGGGCGGCGGCGGAGTCGCGAGGGCGGTGCGCGTCCCGCTGCCCAGCAACCCCTGGAGGGCCGGGCGCGCCTCCAGCACCAGCGGGCCTGGGCCGGGGCCCGGCCCTGGCAGCGCCTCCCCCCGCCGTGCCAGCACCGCGCCGCCCGTGAGCCTCCCCGCCCGTCCCGCCGCTCCCAGCAGCACCCAGGCGAGCACCGGCGGGCGCCGCACGGGCCACACGGCCACCCTGAGGCCGGCCGCCAACCCTAGCCGCCGCAGCAGCGCCCCGCGCAGCCACAGTTCCGCTCCGCGCCGCCCGCCCGCCTCCAGCGCCACGGCGCTCAGCAGCACTGGCTGCGCCCCACCGCGCCCCGCTGGCCGCACTGCCAGCACCAGTGCTCCGTCCCGCCCGCGCAGCGCCGCGCACAGCCCCGCCGGAGCCAGCAGCAGCGCCGTGACCGGAGACAGTTCGGCCGGCGCCATGTCCAGCGGCCGCAGTACGGCCACCGCCATCGCGCCGGTGGCAGAGGGAGCAGGGGCGGGCCGGGGCGGAGCGCGGTGGCCGCCCCGCCCCACCGAGGCTGCAGAGAGGCCCCCGGATGGACTAGGGCGGCTGCGCTCCGGCCCTTGTTACGAGCCGGGCCGGCGGCGGCGACATCCGGTGAGACTGACCCCGTCTTCCCCAGGCTCCAGCGGTCTGCAGACAGAGCCTGCGGGAGGTGAGATGGAGGGGGAATGTGGCCAAAAAGGCGGACGGGTCTTTCTCTGTTCCGCTCGCCTCACGGCAGCACAGTGTAGGGTCGCACGGAAAGGGCATTCGGAGCAGAACCGGTGCCCTCGTCAGTGGCAGCTTGAGGAGATTTTGCATGCTGGTTGAAAAAATGGACTTGTATTGGTGTTAGTATTGAACTAACCTAGGAAGTAATAGAATAGTCTGAGTAGGAAGGGACGCATAGGATCATCAAAGCCCATCTTCTGTCCCTGCACAGGACAACCCCAGTAATCACAGAGAGTGCCCGAGAGTGTTGTCCAAACACCCGTTGAACTCTGTCGGGCTGTAAGTGCTTCCCTGGGGGGCCTATTCCAATGCCCACCCACCCTCTGAGTGAAGAAACTTTTCCTAATATCCAACCTAAGCCTCCCCTGACACAACTTTAGAGCCATTCTCTCGGGTCCTGCCACTGGTCACCACAGACAAAAGATCGTGTCTGTCTTTCTGCTTTAATCGTGAGGAAGTACAGACTGCGATGGGATCTGTTCTCGGTCTCCTCCAGGCTGAACAGACCAAGCAACCTCAGCTGCTCCTCACAAGGCTTCCCCTCTGAAGGGGGAAGTTCCCTAACAATTTTAATGTCTGTTTTACATTGCAGTGCCCAAAACTGCCCCCAGGACTCTAGGTAAGGCCACCCCACTGCAGAGCAGAGCAGGACACGACAATCCCCTTCCTCAACCAGCAGGAGATGCTGGGCCTGATGCACCCCAGGACAGGGTCGGCCCTGAAGCAGTCTGGAGAAAGTCAGGCTCTGATCAGCACCTGTGCCCCCTGCCAAAGACGGAGTAATGAAACACAAACCCCGCAGGATTCTTGAATTCTGCATCCACAGCAGATGTCCAGACACGCCCCCGCCGGTGTCTGTGGGAATAAGGGGAAGGAGTGAGGCTTCCAGTTGCCTCTAGGGCTCCAGCCAGCCTCCCCCTTTCCTGGGCTGCTCGCCATGTCCCATCGCCCTGCTCCACACAAAGGAGCGCTTACATCGAGTTCGGACTTCCTCCATGCACTCCCAGCCTGAAAATCCAGCCTGTGGCTGGGGACGATTGGCCGAAACAAAGTGACACAGTTAGATATTAATATGCTAAAGCTGTGCAGAAATGGCACCGTGAAGATGCTTCTGCAAGTGCAGCCCTGCAGCCTTCTCTGCTCTGGGCCCAGTACCGGGACATCCCCATCGCTCCCTTGCACCCCCCGGGTGCCTGACAGTTGGCTTCCAGTCTATGAAGAAATCTGCATGTGTGAACACTGGCTTTGAATTCCCTGACTTCTCTTGCCTGGATCACATGGAAGCGACCTGCTGCTTGAGCAAGCCCAGCACTTGTGGCTGAGGGACCCCCCGGGCTCCTTAAAAAGAGAAGCTCATGGCACCGGGCCCTGCTGTGGTCACCGGGACAACTGTGGGGACTCACACGGGCAGCAGTGGAGATGTGTGCAAGTGGCAGCCAGTGCCTTACATCAGGATTTCTCCTGTCACAAACTTGTCACTGGCCCAGGCCTGAACCAGCACTGGCAGGAGCCATGGCTGGGTCTGGATGGATCAAACCTGAAGTGACAAGAAGAACGTGCTGCCCTGCTCCTATTGCTGCTCCAAGCAGTGCGTTGGAGGACAGTGGACGTTTCCTTGCCAGGGTTAGCGCAGGCAGCTAAGAGTCAAGTGACTCCCTACTCCAGGAGAGCACCAGACCCTGCCACCAGGAGCTGAGGCTGGCCAGTCACTGCCATCCACCAGTATCTGTACCCCACAGTCACTTCCTAGCATATGAAAAGTGCCTCGGGCCAGTAGCCCTCCTCTCAGCTCCTCCTTCCCAGCATGTGGTGAGAGCTGGGAGCCCACTCGGCACTACCAGGAGGGAGAGTGGTCTTCACCCTGTGCATGCTGGAACTACAGAGTTTCCCCTTGTAGCACCCGTGGTGGTGATGTGCGTGCTCTCACAGCGCTGCAGCCAGCACAAGGCAAGGAGCCAGGCCATCTGCACGCAGGCAGACCAAAGGGGAAAAAACATAAAAGGATTGAGAGTATCCAGTGCCAGCGTGGCACAGCCCAAATAAAAGGTTTGCAGATGCTGCTCAGGCAGGATTAGGCCTCCAATGTGCTAAGTCTCGGCTCTCAGTGAGCCTAATTCCTGCTGCAGTAAGCCCCTGGCTGGTCCTTTCCTGAACCATGCTCCCTACAGCCTCCCCAGCAACTTTTTTTTTTTCCTGCGAAGTTTGTATTTGCCATGTATATGTTAGCCCTCCACTTGGCTGCCTGGTGGGGTCTGGCTGAGCAAAGGAAGAGAAAGGCAGGAAATCTGCACGTGCCTCTTACTTCTCTGCTCTTCCCAGGAACTATTCCCCCACTCTCCCCGTCCGGCACAGCCTGTGGCTGCATGTGTGAGAGCAGCTAGGCCCAGCAGCAGAGGTAGGACCAGGTGACAGCATCAGTACCTGGCCACATAACTGGAGCTGTATTAAGACACATTCCAAATTGGAATTACTCAGATTTTAATAAAACCTTTTGATAATTTTCCATTATGTTTTGTCTGGTAGATGAAACTGGAGGTGTTCCAGGAGAGCTGTCAAGGCATATGCATGGGCCAGTTCAGCAACTGCCATGAGATATATCAAAGAAAGGTATAAATTGCAATACAGAGCATGAAAACCAAGGATACACCACAATTTTATTTATGGATGTGTAATAAATAAATGCTGGACAATACAGGAAGAGCCACATTCAAAAATCCAGGTTACTAAAGTGCTTTTAGACATAAATATAGGGCAACCAAGAAACAGCTCCAACATGAACACTTTTTACAGACAATTACAAAATATCTTCTTATGTCAATTCACAAAAATTGTTTAATTGTTCCAGGGTACTATGGCTTGCTTTTCAAAAAGGTCTGTTCTATCATGCATAGTGTAGCAAATGACATTCAAGAGTGTACAAAGTCATTGCATAAACAAAAACATCCTTACCCCCTTCTCCCAAATATGAGTTAAGGAAGATGCACAGTGTAAATCCGGAGATAAGGCTGCATTGGCAGGCTAGATCCTCAGGGAGCATAAACCTGCCTGTCTGTCAGGTTACACCAGTTTGAAGATGAATCCTACCATGTTTAAAAACCCTGCTGCTCCTCGAAGTGAAGAACTATGTGCTCAGCGTGGAAGGACTGGCACACAGGCGCTGTGCCGGAGTGGAAGTGCTTGGATAAGGTGTCTGTAAACTCCTGCACCATCCTTGCACCTGTGTGTTGGAGAAGGACGCAACTCCCAGCGTTTGTGCTCTGGCTAGCTGGGGAAGTGGTCCCAGCCTGGAGGGGAAGGGGGTCTTTCCCAGCAGCAATCAGTGCTGACCACAGTGCGCTCCCATCCTCGCACTGCTCTTGGCCCCACTGGGACCCCTCTGCCACCCTCCACCCTGGCTCTGCTGAGAAGTGAATAGCTTGAAAGTGAGGGGACAAGGGGATGCGTATGCCCAGTTTTAAAATGCCCTGAATCCAGATAAAAATTCCATTATTTAAGAAAAAAATATATCAATAAATATTATGGTCTCGCCAGGACGCTGTAAGTTCTGGCCTCCTCCAGGGCAGCCCAAGCTCAGTGGTCCCTGTCGTTCTGCTCTCTGGGGGGGTCCCCGTTGATGTACTGCTTCAGCACACCCCTCTTCTCGTGCTTGGCTGTCCTGGAGAGGTCTATGGCTGTGTCCTCCGAGTCTTTTGCAGGCCCAAGCTTGTCGGAGCCCTTCTGGGAACTGGCATGTGTCCGTTGGAGTTCCTCCTCCTCCTGCTCCATTCGCCAGCCATCTGCCAGCTTCTCTTGGCTCTCTGCCTTCCTGTTTACCTCCATGGACTTTTTGTGCATACCTTGCAGAAGAGAGAGAGCAAAGCCAAGGGCACTGGCTGCTTATTTCTGCCTGGGACTGCTCAGAATCACCTGCATTACTGCTGCTTCCCTCAGCTCTTGCCTGCATCCCAAGGAAAGCTCTCTGTAGTTACCAGCCTTTCCCAATCCAAAGCCCTGCTCTCTGCAGCTCGAGGGGATGGCTTGTGGCAGAATTAGTCTTTACCTCCCCTGTAGCAGGGAAGGCTTACAAGGGAGAGGTGTGCTGTAATGACGCATTCCAACCTGGATTTTGATTGTATACGAGCAGAGGGTAGCTCTGAGGTATCTTCAGTTTAGGGGCGGGTGACAGTGACTTCTTTGATGCCTTGTAACTCTCATGCTGCCTGCTAGCACTGTAGAGTGATACCCACCCATGTGCAGACACCTGTCTGACAAAGCAGTAAAAGGTTTTCCTTTTCCTAGCTGTTTTTTGCAAGGAGGAAGTGGAAAACCCAGGGCACCTGGCAGCCTGCATACATCTCAGGGCTGGGGAGGCCCCATTCCTTTCTGTAAAAAGGGAAGGGCAGACATATGAGAGAAGAAGCTGAGCCCTGATCCCCCCAGCAGCCTCTCAAATTCCCACTCACCCAGCAGCCACGGGGCACAGGATCCCACCAGCCCACTCTTGGCAGAGTTGATGATGGACTCAGGCAGAGGGATGGAATGCCTCACCATGGCCCCATAGAGGCCGTACTCGGCCATCACGCTGCTCCGGCCCCAGCACTTCTCCCGCTTCCGCCACTTGGCTCTTCGGTTCTGAAACCAAACCTTCAGGGGTAACAGCCAGGAGAGCACGGAGGGGTGGGATTGGGGAGGAGACAGCCCCCATGGCAGCCGGGTGTCCAGGGCCCATCGGGAACGGGGGAATGTCCATCCAAAGCAAAAGGTCACCCATAGGGGGGCGTGGAGGGGTGTGCAGACACGGGGTGTGGACACGCAGGTGGCACCGGGAGGGCAGCCAGGGTGGCGTGTGGGGAGGAGTATGAGGGAGGGCACACACGTGGGTGTCAGAGAGGGGAGGAAGGGAGGGAGAGGGAGGACATGTTAACATGAGGCTGATCATGACACAGGAAGGTGATCCCAGCCAAAGTCACCCTATGCTGCTCCACCTGCCTGCAGAGCCTCCCTGCCTGATCCACAAAGCACCAACCTCTCCAGAAAAAGGGCTCCATAATGCGGTGACCAATGATGACAGAAGGTCTTCAGGTCCCTCTTCCCACCCCACTCCTGTATTTGAAGGTTTGAAGGGTGTAAATATAACCAGGCTGCTGCCCAGACCACCACCTCATTCTTCAGCCACTGAACTGTTTCACAGGTGAGCAGGATCAGGCCTTAAAATGCCATGTGTCCCTCAAAAGGGCAAGCCAGTGAGCATGCTCTTGCATCACAGCTTGGCCCAGCAGCTCCGAATTGCTCCCAGCTCCTGCCTGAGTGGGAGGACAGAGCCAAGTTGCCAGCAGTGAGCAACTGCTGGAGCCAGCTCAGTCCCCTGGTTCTACAGGTCCATTTGGAGGCTGTTTGATGCCAGCAGGCAGAAGCTGAGCATCCCCCAGGCGCTCTGCAGCGTTTCAGTGCCACCATGTTCCCAACACCTGCGTTCACTGCCACAGAGCAGAGAAGAGGGCCGGATACTGACAGCCCGCAGACTCTATGGAAGAGAGAGGACCGCTGCAGCCACTTACCTGTATCCTGTCCTCCGGCAGCTCCGTCTTCACAGCTAGCATCTCCCGGGCATAGACGTCGGGGTAGTGTGCTTCATTGAAAGCCTTCTCCAGCTCCTCCAACTGGTGAGCTGTGAATACAGTCCTGTCGAGAGAAGAAGAGCATTCTGTCACACGTCCTGACCCTTGGGCAAACAGCAAGGCTGGCAGCCCTCCCAGGCTGAGGTTTTCCTCTGGAAAATCTTCCCCCCACCCCAGCTGCAGCCCTTCTCTTTTCTCCTTTTCCTCCCTTTATCCCCCTTCGGGATATCGACCGCCCCAGCCTGGAGATCAGAGGAACAGCAGGAAGATGGTGGCAGCAGCGAGGAGGTGAGAACAGGGACAGCTTGGCTCCCGGGCGCTACCTGTGCCGACGTTTCTTCCTCTTGATCTGGGAGGTGGACATCTTCAGGTCGCTGGCGTCCCCAGACAGGCTGTCCTCATCTGGCAGCAACATGGCGGGAAAAGAGAGTCACGTTCCCGTTGAGAGCGCGGCTACCGAACCCAGCTCCTCAAACACGGTTCCAGCCGCCCGCGGGGAGTGGGCCCGGGGCAGTGAGGAGTCCCCTCCCACGGCTGAGCCCGCCGCGCCGCACCGGTGATGCCATCCCGGGGCAGGGGGTGGGAGCCCGCACTTGCCGGAGGGTCGAAGGCTTGGCATCCCGGCAGGACGGGTAGCACGGGAGCCGATCGCGCACCGGCGGGAGAATGCTGGCCGCGACCGCAGGTGCGAGGCAGCCCCGGCAGCGGCTCCGGACGGAGGTCTCCGTGCGCGCCTGAGAGGCCACCCCCGACCCCACTCACCGGAGATGTTCTCCTTGTGGCGTCGGGCGGCGGGAGGCGGCCCGGGAGGCGGGCGGGGACCGCGGGCGGGCAGGAGCGGCAGTGGGGTAGGCAGCAGGCACGGGGCGCCCGGCCCCCCCAGGCTGCACAGCAGCCCCAGCCCCAGCGCCCCGCCACCCTCGTAGCCACCGGCGGTGGTGGCCGGGGGGGGCCCGGGGGGCGGCTGCAGCTCAGCTTCCAGCCCCAGCAGGTCGGTGATGGCGAAGCCCTTGGTCCGCAGCCCCACGCCTCCTGGCCGCGCCGCCGGCCCGGGTGTCACCGGTACGGGCACCACCACCGGCCCCGCCGCCGCGCGTTCCCCCGACGGCTCCGCCCGGCCCGGCATCATCGCCGCCGCCGCTGCCTGGCCCGGTCACCACTGCCCGCCTCCCTTTTTATCGTCCCGCCGCCGATCCCAGCTCCAATCACACTCCAGACCGGCGGGGGGGCGCTCCCAATCCCCGGATTAACGGTCCCTGTCCCCCCTCCCGCCCGTACCGGCCCCGCGCCCCTCCCCCGGCCCTCCCAGGTCACCGCCTGGCCTCCACCGCCCCCTCTCGCTCTCCCTCCCTCCGTTCCCCTCGGTCCCCCTCCCTCGGTCCTCACCATTAACCCCCGGGTCCCCTGCGGTTTTGCTCTGATCCTCTCCAGGAGCCCCTCTCAGTGCCTGTCCCGCCCCGGCCCGGTCACCCTGTTCCCCCCCATGCCCTGTACATCCCACTCACTTCCCCTTGGGTTCCCTCTCCGGGTTTCCTCCCAGGACCCCCCTGCTATGTCCCTATGTCTCTATATCCCCTATATCCCCTCTTCCAGTGCTCGGCAGTACCCCAGTACCTTCCAGTACCCCCATTTCAGCTCGAGACCTTTCAGCCCCACATCCCAGATGGGACATCCCACTGGACTCAGCACCCTAGAGACAGGCATGGGAACAGGCAGGGGCTGTTGGGCAGGACCCTTCCTGACCCCAGGTGTCTTGCCACCATGGCCAGGGCCTCCTCGAGGTGCCTGGTCTCTGTGCTCCCTTTTGCTTCCAGATTCTTGCACCTGGGCTGCAATTTTTTTCCCCCTTCCCTTCATCTGTTGATGGAAATGATTTACAACCGGCTTACACAGGCTGCCTGATCCAGGCCTTCATTGGATGGTCAGATTAACTGAGGGTCCTTCTGATAAAGATAATTACAAGGGGACTCCGCATTAACTTTGCATTATTAAAGAAAGACCCAAATCTCCCGTCACAAGCTGTTCCTGGGATTAGCAGAACAATAACTTTCATTTAGGATAATTGCCGTGGCCGGCACTGGTGGGGAGACCCTCTGGACGATCATGCTTCTCACCAAGAAAGGCAAATGGGTGTGAGGGGAAGGGGAGGTGTGGGAGGGTGGTCACACTTCACAAGCCACCAATTCAGAATACTCGTGTGCTCAGGATGAAGGGATGCTTGGGGCATCCCCACCAAGGGCTGCCCCCTGCCCAGTGACAGAGCACCGTGGGATCTTCTTGGACATCTTCGCTTCTCCAGAGTGGTTTTGCTGCAGTTTTGCTGGAATAGGAGACTTTCACTGCTAGGCAAGGAGATCTGCCACAGTAATTAGAAGTCATAATCCAGCCACCACCCACAATAAATTTCCTGTTCGAGCAGATATTAGTGGTTAAAACCCTAATTTTTGATGTTGTCCCAGAATCAGCTTGATTTCAGCAGTTTACGTTGAGGCTGAGCTGTCGGGAGAGATGATGAAGCCTTAAATATGCATATGGCCTAGGCATTTGGAAAGTTTGGGGATAAAGCATGTATAATTGCTCCTAATCAGTTTATGAAACATAAAAGCTCAAACCCAAGAGAAAGCCGATAGATGCAGAAATGGAAATAGCGATTAAATCTCCCCATGCTGGCAAGGTGGCCTGGATATGTCGCTACTGCCCAGGGCAAGGGTGACCGGGGCTGTGCCCTGGGGGATGGGGACACACCCGTTCCCGGGACAGGACAGTGGGATGGGGTGTGGGGACACTCCTGCTGCCACCCCCAGCTCCCCCAGCCATGGTGAAGGCAGGCATCTCCACTGGTCCTTTGGACAATAAATCAGTTAAAGGATATCTTGATATATGCTCATCAGATAGGATTAGCTGGGATTAAACTAATCAGTAAATGTTTCTCTGCTCATTATTTTCTAAGGAAGATTTTCAGCTGATTCTCCAACGCCGAAAGATTATTAATCGCTTAAAGAGCAGAACATCAAACATCGCCTCTTGCTCTAATTTCCCTGTGGTTTGCTCCCCCTCTCCATGGGCAGGGTGCCTGTGCCAGCCAGCCCAGCAGCCTCAAGGTGCCCCATCAGCCAGAATCTCAATGGAGCACTTCCAGAGGTGTCCAAGGCCACAGCACCCCAGCCTCAGTGTGGTTCCATGTCCCAGGGAGTGAGTGCTGCCTGCAGCTGATGCTGGAGCACTCTCATCCCTGCTGCACTTTGCAGAACTAGGGATCCAGCAAGGTGGGATAGTCCCCAAGTTGTCCCCTCCTCCCCATAGCTGCTCCACCACCATGTCAGACACCTGCCATGACCTTTAGGACGGAGGGCACGCATGATGGGATGGATGCCTGGAGCTGTCCCGCTCAGACTCCAGAAAAAAGCCTCACAAGTCCTTAGGGGATTACAGATACATGCAGCATTTTGGCATTTGGCATCACCCCCTCAGTTGATGATAACTCCAGAGCCAGCATTTGGTGGGTTTTTAGAGTCCCTGTCTTCACCATGGGGCTCAGGGAAAGCCTCCGAAGGATGTGCACTCACTCTGCAACCACCTGCTGTAGCAATGAGGAGGGGTCAGCAAGGAGAAGGTATTGAAGGGCCTGGTTTAGGGGATTAGTAATGGGATAAGACAGCTTTCACCTCCCTGGTTTAGATATGAATCAGGTCAATAATAAAGGACCATCTGACAGTTTCAGGCAGCTCCAGTTGGAAGAAGCTCCTGTGTCCCAGGCTGGATAGAGAAACCATCTCCAAAAGCCCAGCTCTTACTGCATACCCATCCATTGTACCTGCACCAGCAGTCACAGCCCAGTACTCCTCCCCAGCTCCACACCCCACACCTGCATCAGCTCCTGGAACATCTGCATAGGAGCAGGTTGGAGCCTGCTCTCCAGGGAAGAACCCTTGGGTGCCTGCTGTGTAGGGCAAGCACAGCCAGCCTGTTGGTGGCTATGGTGGGCCTTGCACAGGTGCAGGATGACCCAGAAGTGGAGTGCATCAAGATGAGCAGCCAGCTGATGGCAACACAGTAATTTGGCAAGGGTGAGAACCACAATAAGCATGGACAGAAGAAAAAGGGCTTTTCTTCTGCCTCCTCCGCATCCTGCTGGGAACATGGGGAAGTGATGGCTGTTGCAAAAGCATTGCCTCTGACACATGGGTGAAAAGGAACTGAGAAACAAGCCATAGCAAAGAGGGGGGTGTTGCAGGCAGTTACACCTGTGTTTTGCAAGGCTAAATCCCCACCTCTAAGTTACAGATGAGCTTCCTCCTTGAAATGCAGGCAGTGAGACTTTCCTCAAGCTGCTGCAGGGCTCAGTAGTGGATTGTGTGTGCACTACCGGCCAGTTAGGAATAGGTATATGTAGTGGCCAAGTACCATCCATTTTGGAGTGATGGATTTGCAGAGTCAGGCAGCTCATATGAACAGGTTAAATGAATCAGGGAACCTGTGCTCCCTAAGCTGTCAGGCTGTGGGAAGTGCTTTGTTTGCAGCTCTGGATGTGGGTGAAGCAGAGGGTTTGCAGGGCGAGCCTAGCCACAGCTGGCCACCGCCACCTGCTCAATGCTGTAGCACTGCCAGCCCAGCTTACTGCAAGTGTTGTCAGCCTTAATTTGGCACAGGGGGTCCCTTTTCATGTCCCACTCCACACTCCCCAGAGACATCCCTACTAATTCCTCTGCATAGATTTCTGTCTTAAGGCATTTGCCTTTGATTAAAACCAGAAGAGCAGTCACGGTTTAAGTGGAGTTTAAGAGCAAACCACGTGCCGCTGCACAGGGCACTCACATCTGGAGTGTCACAGATTTAATCAAACTGCTGTGAAGTGCTGCACGAATACAGCTGTTACAGCCGCCTGGAGCCCATCTCCTAATTAATTCCTAGCAAACACAGGGCAAACAAATGGCCATCAAGGTGCTACGCCTATAACATCAACTGCAAGCGTGGCTGGCAGTGAGCAAGCAGAGCTCACCCTGTTTATCTCCAAGGAGCTATAGGTGATGTAGCCCATGGAAAGTGCTGTTCCTGCTCCTAAGGAGGAGACTGGGGCTTGCTCCAGAGGTATATGTATGGGAACAGTAGGGACAGAGTGTTCAGGAAGAAACCCAGATGGAGTAGGCAGAGCAGTGGTAGCTGTGATTTCTGGTTGCTCCTTCAGCTGCTGCTTTTTGATTCCCCTCCTTCTTGCTTCTGCCAAACTTGTTGCTTTCTAGTACCATTTATCTACCCACCTCACATCCCTGTGGGCAACCCCTCTTGTCCTGTACAGGATGTGTGAGCTGGGACACAGCTCTCCCTGGAGATGCTTTACCTGCTGCTACCCAAGGCCTGGCACCTGACAAAGGTTCTGGGCGAGCTCTGCTGCCACAGCCTTAGGCAAAATCCAGGCAATGGCAAAACAGGTCAGGCCCGGACTCAGTTCTCCTTGGTGCTCATTCACAGCTCATTAAAGCTAATTGAAATGACTACCAAAGCTGGGTCTATGTGGGTGTTTGGAAGCTTTGGGCACAAGACACAACTAGGCTGGGAATATCCAACTGTGAGGAGCCCCAAACTAGCCGATGGACTGTCCATTCCAATTAGCCCCACAAAGGAGCTATTATTCTTTTGCACTATGCTTGTCTGATTACTTTATCTTATTATTTTTTGATCATTCCTCCAAAATGTGCTAATTAAACAGAAATCATCAAGTCAATTAGAGAAACACTCATTAAAGCCGAAAAGAAAAGAAAGTATCGTCAGTAGAAAAACGGCTATGAGGGTCCCAAACACACAATAGCTGCCACAATCATTAAATCAGCAAATCCCAAAAGAGGGGTAGACATTGTCCCACCCTGGTCTGTGCCCTGGAAATGAAACTTCCCAAGCAATGGAGTCAGATTCCTTTCCTTTTTCCTTTCCTCTCTCCTCTCCTCTCCTCTCCTCTCCTCTCCTCTCCTCT